TTAAAAGTGAAATCAATAACATAATTCTGATGTTTCAAATGTATTTCTTTCTACTAAAGGCATTGAGAAATTCAATAGACAGTGAAGTCAAGAATAGAGGATACACTTTCTTTTGTCTTCTGCCTGGTGAAAAAATAAATGAACTAAGATTGGAATGGCTCTTCCTCTTTGCCTGCTTTAATAAATAATGAATTTTCATTAGTTTCAGTAGAAACTTAGTAAAACTTTCATAACTGTTCAACATACCCGACAAAATACAATTTTTGGCAGTTAGAGGTAGAGAGATTTAAGGAAACAAAAAAGAAACCAATAATGACAATAATACTTGATTTAATAAAAAAAATACTCATTTCTGTTTCACACTCAAAATCAATTTCGGTATTCATAACAACTCTAAGGTAAACATGAATACATTACTTCTACTTAAAGTTGAAAGAGATTTTAAATAATGCTTTAATTAACACTTATGTTTATAAAAATAGTAGTAGTCTCAGATTGTGATCTGTCCTGAATCCAAACTCCTAAATCTGAGTGATCTCCATGAGACCCAGGGATAGATGTTATATGTTAATACATTTAAGTGTTATTTTAATTTTAGACATTGAGTAGAAATCTAAGTTTTGATCTGGATTATTCAAGATGATATTTGTGCTAATAAAGCATTTCACTTTACTGTTTAGCTCATTCTCTTCAACTGAAACTGAGACAGGTAATGTTGGGTGGGGGTGGAATGTGGGACTAAACAAATGAAAAACAAATAATAAATGTTGACAAAAGATGGGCTAGTTTTTATTCCAAGTCTCAGAAATCATATTTGTAGGAGAATTTTATGACTACAAACTCAAAGAAGCTTATGTATGCACCTTAATCTAAAGTAGGAGATATGATTGCAAGGAGATTTTAATGTGGCATTTAACTGATATGTATATGAGTTGTCATTATTATCATTGGATGTGTGTTAGAAATTATGAAACTGAAATTTGGAAACATTGTTCAAAACTTTTGCAAAGAATAAACTTTACCTAAGTGATGAAATTGGGAAGATTTATTCAGTGCTAGTTCTATGCTTTCTTTGAAGCAAAAGAAAGAGTAGTCATATTCTTTACACTTTACATGTATTTTTTTAAATGATAATTATACCTTAAACTTTTTAAATATAACATTGACATATTTTGTTTAAGCACATATTGAAATATTTATAATTTCAATATCTGATGAAAATAATTCCATAACCATTTGAAACATTTGAAATTTCCCATGAACAAAAATGACTTTCTTTTCTTTGTCTATCTCTGGGGGATGGGAGACAGGACAATTTCCAGGAGGTACACCCTGAGATAAGAACTGAAAACCCAACCTCGCCAGGAGTGAAGCCTCAAACTCACAGGAAAAGTGACTATCACAGAGCAGTTTTCTGAATGTAGTTTTCTTTTATTACTATTTGGTGAAGAAGAGCATGATTAGTGAGAGGGAAGGAAAATGCTTTGAAAATCAAAACCTGGATACAACATAACTACTTTCTATTTCTGAGAAACATTCTGTTGAAATTTTTTTCTGAAAAATACATGAAATATCAAAATTGCTCAAACATACCTTTTCAAGGACTGTAAAAAAAAAGGCAAATAAATGTGAAAGAAGAAAAAGTGAGAAATAAGATATAAAATAGGGATTTCAGGAAGTCTAACTATAATATTAACAAATCATGGAATGTTTTTGTTGTATGATAGTCACTTTTTGCAAATAAATTCAAATGGCACTATGTATACAATGAAACACTAGATTAGGTGGGATATTATGTATAAGGATTAAAAATAATGTGGCAAAAATAATGTACAGTTGTTTTAATAAGGCATTGTTTTAGTCTTTGGTATCTGAATATCACTTCTTTGCAGCAAATATGCTTTTATACCTAAACAATGAGGATAGAAACATTTATCCAATTAAAATTAATGTATTTGAGCAAGTATTAATTTTAAAATTACCTTGTTCCTATTTCAATTTATTTCAAAGGGACACTAAATTAATAAACTTAACTGATACCAACATTGCATTTTCTGTGACATTTTTACCTTCTCAAAATATGTTCCTAAAATAAATACCTTTTGAAAATAATTAAAATGCTCTAATATTTCTTCTTCCAGTATATATGACTATAATCTTTCTTTAATGTATAATTAATGGAAAAATTTAAATTCAATGCCATTGGTTTCAGTATCAGTTCCATTCGTTCATCTCATATGTAAATCCAATCTCTCTGACAAACTTATACTGCTGTTATTTCCCTGTGTAAGTCTTTTACACTGTTTAGAATAATCACAATTTGTTAAGTGCTCCCTCTGCATGTGTATCGTGTTTCTGTTCTAGAAGGCACCTCAACTCTGAAGTCCTCTTACTGGGATCCTAGTTTTGTAACTGAGTCTGTGTTGAATGCTTGCCTCGTTTTTTGCTTCATATTATTCTGTCTATCACTACCTATGACTCTATTTTCAAGTGGAGTTTAGTTTCATTGATGATAATCTCTATGATGACACCACCAAGATATTTCATTTGAGATGTTCTTAGTGCCTGTCACCATTTCTTCGTTTGTGCATGCTTAGATCTTATTCAATTAGTAAGTGTTAAATGGTACAAATTATTCTTTGAAGCAGAGATCTGAAATAGTGCTTTGAAAATGGCAGTAGATGCTTTAGAGAAAGACTTCCATGCATGCATTTTGACACAAGAAAAATTGCCTTGATGGAATTAGTAGGGTGACATTAACTATTATGGCCCATTTTCTTACTTCTTAACCATGTATTGTTGGGCAAGAAGATTAAGCCATCTGATGAATTCAGTTTATAAACGGCCCATGCCTTCTTCACAGGATCAAATTTCAAGAGACTTAAATGCCTATTTCCTGCATTCACTTTTACCTAAGACTTTGAAAATGAATCATTACTAAAATAGGCTGGATGTAGCTCTATTGTTGAAAGGCAAAGGTCCTTTATTTCGGAGACTCAGCAAAGAGGATATGTAATCATTCTCACAAGCCTAAGAGCATTTTTTGGGTTGGGTGGACATCAATACTTCATAGAAGAATATGCTCTTTTTTGTTTTCTCTAAAGTCTTCCTTAATTTAAAATTAAAAACAGCAACAAAAACCTCATGACAACTTTCAGTATTGTAAGTCAAAGTAAGAACACATTTTGACCTGTTTAAGAGGAATGCTATTAATATTTTTCATTTTAAAATGTTGTAGTTGGAATCTTTGTAAAAGGAGTGGTTTGTAGAAGTCCTATCTTTAAATGGTTATGTGGTACTTTGACTCCAGGGTTTATGAAATTTCTAGTACTACATAACTAAAGATTTACCTTCTGCAGATGAGGTAGAAAAAAATGGTTGAAGTGATTTTGTTTCCTTCTGACAATATTTATTGCGCCTTTAATCCTAAAGGGTAAAAAATAAAGAATTTGAATTTGAGTCACATATCTCTCAAGAACTGTTCTGAGATTTGTTTTATTCTTGAAGTTGAAAGACAAGAAAGTTAATTTAATGTTAACATACCTTGAAGCTAACTGCAATTTCAGTTTGAAATATGCGCCTCTTCTTTTTTTCAGAATAAACAACTTTATAGTTTTGATGGGCTGAATAAACTCTTTACATATTAATAAGCATTTGAGAATATACCCAAGGTTACTGGATCTCTATGGTCCAAAGCATATCTTACCACCCCCAGTTAACTAACACTTTTTAATAGCTGTTGAATAAATGCATATATTTGAACTTGTTTGCCATACCTGTACATTCAGCTAAACCGAAAGAGAAGCAACAAACCAGGTGTATAAGAATACACAGAACTATGGACTAGTGTGTATTCAAGCTTTTTACATTGCAAAAAATGGGGAAGTAGATTTTTCTCCCTTCTGCTACCCAGATCTTTGACTGTCTTGTAGTGTACCAAGTATCCAACCCAAAGCACTATTAGTAATTAATAGCTGTATGGTTTCCCCTAAAACATTTCTAAAATTTTATTACTCTTAATAATTTTCTGTGCTATATGTAACCAAACTGTGAATCAGTACCAATCATGGATAGCACTGAAAATTGAGATTGGATGCAAAATTAAGGTTAAAAAAAAAATGTGTGTTAACTTGTAGCTGAATATCCATCTGTTGGCTATAAAAATTTTATATACATAACCTAAGTGAAGCATATCATATCCAACTACCATTTTGACTATTTTTAAACTCACCTACTATCGTTCAAGATTTCAAGGTATGTGTGTGTTGAGGGGTGGCAGGTATGCTACATAAACTCAATTTCTCTTACAATATTTTCCTCCTTTTGCAGGATATGAAGTTGTAATTTTGTGTGAAGCCTTATCTCAGTGATAATTTCTTCTTCAATTTCCTTTTTAGACCTGTGTTTATACAGATTTGTGATTGAAAGAATTCTGATAACATGTCTTCAGTGATTTATGCAAGATCTATTAATTTCTCAATGCTTGCACAAGAATAAATGTAATTTATAAATTCTCATAAAAATATCTTGGATCAAAGAATGATCATAACTACTAATATTTCTTCTAATTTATCAGCCACCATTTTCTATAAGGTCTGTTATAGAAAAATATTTTATTGGAAATAATACATTGATTTCAAGTGTGTATTTTCTTTAGATCTATACATATCAAGAATTACAAAATGTGCTGAGTCACCTTATAGTGCCATGGAACCCACATAATTTTGTTACCTGAATAACTGTGACTAGTGAATAACCCCTCTCACTATGCACTCTGCCTACTAAGCAATTTGAGAATTTTTTTTTGAACACTGATAAACTAGTGTTTTTTTAAAGCAAGGCATTGAGTATTGAATAGTTTCAGTCTTTTTTCAGAGCATTTATTTATCATTATTATTATCTTGGCCCAAAGTAGCCGCAGAAAAAAAAAAATATGAGACCCAATCAATAAAAATATGAGACCCAATCAATATTTATAATAATGATATAATTGCCTAGTTTCATATAAAAATAATACTTGGAATGCTTTCATTAACAAAATTCTAAAGTAAGAAAGTAAGTTAACATGGAAACATAGTTCAGGACTATAGAAACTCCATTTTGCCTTCATATGAGATTTAATATCAGGGGCTCAGAAGTAATCCATTATCATTATAAGGTTAATCAAAATGACATGGATCTGAGATGTTCTTCTTACAAAATCAGGGGGATATTTCAGTGCTTAAAATCATGCAGAGGACCTTGGCTCTAAGTGAATTGTATAAACACATCATCATTTTTTAAACCCTCATCTGTAAAGCTTACAGGATGAATGTTAAAAAAAAAAAAAAAAAAGCAGACAATTTATCCAGAATCTATGTCCAAAAGCCTAGTGGATTTCCAAAACCTAACCTTTTTGCATAGCACCTTTTTCTCTTCCCCTTTGCATGGGAAAACAAAAAAGCCATGACCCACAGTGGTTCTCAGAGCTGTACCCTTCTTTCGAGTGAATGCCATCCATATTAGCACAACTGGAGCATGTCTGCAGGGTTGTACCCCAAAGCCCCTGAGTGTCCCTTTGGTTTAGCTTAATCCTGGAACACAGACCATTAGGATATAGAAACATGATAAAGCAACATCTGGAAAGTTAAAATGTTGGAAATAACTTAAATTACATTTTATTCCTCAAGCTTGAAACACAGATTCAGAATTATTCAAATGAAACTCTCTTCCCAAAATTCAAAACTGTAATAGTCGCAAACAGGCAAAAACCAAAACTTTGCAGACAGGTAGAATCAAACAGAAAATGTCACATAACATTTGGGGACACTAGATATGATCAATTTAAAGAAAAAAGGAAAATCTTTCCCTTGACATGATTTTTATTCTGTGGCTTTCAAGCTTCCAATTGATCTGACATATGTAAACGTAGACAGTTTTGGAGACTAGAATCATTATTGTATGAATTATTTCAAGACCAATTGAAACAACAACAAAATATTATCTAAAGCTTTTTGAGGAAAACCCCCAAGAACTTATAAGAAAATTAGCTTACTTGAGAAAATATCAAAAATAACTAAACTTGCATATTATGTTTCATCAGCAGTTATTTCACTATTTTAGGAAGTTCTCCCATAATAATGTAATATTTTATTCAAAATGTAGGTAACTATACTTTTTTTTTATAAGCTGATAAAAGTAGAAAATTAACATCTGCCAGGCTTCACATAGCAGAAAACTTTGTAGTAGGCAAAGCATTTGTACAGTTGCCTATGAACCCACACACAGCCTGGGAGGGAGTTAGGGAACACTTTGCTGTCTCTATGCTGCAGTCTGAACCCCTGAAACTGACGGGTTGATATGTTGGTCATGTACTAATGGGCTTCCACTAACTCATGTCCAACATATCATGAACAGTAAATGTGAATCTCCTATTTTTTTTTTTATTTTTATCCTTTTCCTATACACTTTCCTGAAGATTCCAAATATATCCCAATGAATCAGTCAGGGTTGAGAGGGATGTGTGAGTTCCTGTAAGAAAGAAAATTGAGAGGAAGAAAGTTGAGTAAAGAGCAGACTAATCTTTTCACACTACATTGTTCTCTTAAGTGATGCATAATATTCATGACTTCCCAGCTTATAAATAAGCAAATTAAACTGGAGTAGCAAAGGATGACCTTTGTAGCTATTTTCAAAATCTTTCCTTGATACATCAGAATATCTGAGTATATCCTAATCCACTCACTCTGGGCATCTTTTAAAAGGGGGTTGTCCTCTTCAAGGGGGGGCAGATAGGGTAGAGACAGTGGTGTCTCTACTTCAGAATAGTGCACATATGTGCACACAAGTTGCATACGTTATAGTGCAAGCAGCAAATCCCCATGCTCCATCTGTTTTGTATGGAGAAAAAAAGTGGGGAGGGCAAAAAATAGTGACACAAACAAGTCTGGGTTGAAGTGGCCTGGTCTGTTAGAAATACTCATGTAGTCGAAATGCAAAACAAAGCTAATGAGATCTGTCACAACAACTGAGTGTGTGTGTGTGTGTGTGTATAAAGTCCATCCTAAAGAGTGAAAAAGAGGTCGTGATTTCCTTCCTAAGTTTCTTTGTGCTATGTTCTACCCCTAGAAATCATAGTCATGAGTCCTTTTGAACCATGGTGCTTAGAGTTGCTTTTGGAAAAGAAATCACAAAAATATCAAAACAAGTATCATTGGTTGGCTGAATTCAAATATCTTCATTAGATAGTACCACAGACTTTATTGAGCAATTGAAAATATACACAAGGAACAATAGCTTCTTTTTCTGTATTTTTTTTTTTAATTTGACTTTCTTCCAAATAACCCAGTTTTGATCATGAAAAGGGCACTTGTTTCTACAGTAGCTGTGTACAGCACGTCTGGTCCAAGTACTGTTCCCGCGTTTCTTCCTTGCCATGGCTGAGGTGATCGCTCCTCTTGCTCGGGAAGCAAATTCTAAAAGGTGGCAAGAACTGATCCGCTAAGTTGTTCTTTCAGATTCTATTTCTCCATAGAGTTCGGCTAACTTTTTGAACTCGGGTCCCCAGTCCCCCAGGTAGTGATAGTCCTGGTCTGACTGTGTGGTGGCTGAGTCCAGCGAGCTGATGGACCCGGTCTCAGATCTCTGCCCCTCATAGGCGTAAGTCTGAAGAGAGTCATAAGGGGGGACACTGGGGTCTAAGTCGGCTTCTGCCAGTCTCTGCTTAATAAATTCCTGAACATCTATGCTCTCCAAGGTGGACAACGTCTGATGTCTGGGGGTGAGCTTCACTTCAGGTCTGATGTCTCTCCGGTACTTGAGTTCCTCGGCTGCAGAAGGGTTCCTCAATGCCGTGATGTCAAAGGCCTCTGTGTCTTCCTCCCCGCCCCCCTCATCATCGTAGGTGACCACGTTCTCCCGGACATCCTCCTCTGAAATAATCAGGGGTTCTTTCTTGCTGCGTCTCAAGGTGATAAAAAGGACAACAATTGCTGAGAGAAAACGGAAAGAGGGTGAAAAGTTAGCACCAAGAAAGAGGGAACATGTTGGAGAAATTACAGCAGCAATTTCCAACTATTAAACCATCCGTTTGAGGCTGGCACTCTAGCAGAATCCAGAGTTCTGCATGCAAGACTTTCCAGTGTTTCAAGGAATGTAAAAAGTCATTACCGCTCCAAAACATAAGGCATCACTGATCTTTAGCAAGCAGAATGCTCTCTTTGCTGGAGTTTATGCATTCAGCATTCTTTGCTCAAATTGCAGTAAAACTAACAAATGATTGTAAAGCAAAGAAGCAACAAGTTAGAGAGCCCTTGATAAGGAACATTCATCACCCTACAAACTGCCCTTTACCTCTAAAACCTCTAAAAGTAAAATATTTCTTTGCTTTTTATCATTAGAGTTTTTCCTGCTTCTTTTTGTAATTTATCCCCCCCCCTTTTTTTTTTGGCCTAATCATATTAATAATTTAGGGGTATTTTCAAGTATTTAAAAAATATTTATTTATGCATGCAGAACTGGGGTATAGGCCAGAGGCTTAGGGGCTGCGAGAGGCTTCACCAGAGACAGAGTGGGGAGCAGAACAGGCAGATCGACGAAGTACACTGCTGAGGAGAGCAGCGGGAGGGTTAGGAGAGGTCTGCCTCGCCATGTGAACTCCTCCGGGGCAGGCAGGGATCGAACTCATGCGGAAGTGGCTTTAGCTTCTCAGTGCTGTGCTTTAACCCACTGCACCACCAGGGAGGGCCCAGGAATAATTTTTAAGGAAGCTTTAGAGTTACCTAATTTTCTTGAGAATATTTTATGATTAAACCAAAGTAAATTTTCCAGAGTTTTAAGACAAACTGATTTGAGGAGAAAAAGGGGAAATACTGATTGTACATATAGAAATGAATGTAAAATTCTTATTTAAATCTAGGAGTCAAATTAGAATATTCAAACAAACCCTAACTTCACCCCTACCCAGTTTATCAAATCTTTCATGTTAGAAAAGCTACTTCTTCTTACACTGGATAATCCAGAAAAATGTAATATGCACGAGGTACTGTATTATATAAGAGCTTAATGATACAGAAATTGCTGTTTGTTCAAAATTATTAATGATATTTGATATTTTGAAATTTGGCTATATAGGTTTAAAGGGTAGTATGTATGACTATTTTTCTTCGAATGGATTTTATTCTTGATTAATATATTTCTTTTTCATCTTTGCATTTGCCCAAATGTTAAACACACTGATATCACCTTTTTACTCAAGGAAAGTAAAGTGAATTTGAGTCTTATTCACTTATTTTATGTATAAAGGAATTTGGATTTGCAGAGTGTTTTAACTTGTTTTCTCTATTATGTCTCTTTAGTATCATCCCAGGGCTCGGATGATAATGGGGTTCTCTGTTTTCACGAAACTCCCACCTAACTAGCACTTGAATACATTTTGCACTGACTCTTAAAATGCTTTTGTAAGCAGAATTTTTCACTCTTAATTTCACTTGCTTCCTCTTTAGGTCATCATATATTGACACTAAACTTGATAGAAATGAGGTGCCCCAGGAAGATCAATCCGGGAACCTCCATGGCCCTATTGTTCAAATGTGGTGTCTGGAGGAGGGGGGTTGGTGTTGGTGAGAGGATTCACCAAAGACAGAGTGGGAAGTACTTTGAAATATACTGCTGAGGGGAGCAACAGGAGATACAGGAGAGGCCTGCTGTACCCACGAAGCCCAGCTCCCTGGCTGCGATCAAACTCAGGCCATCCTGGTAGTAAAGCTGAGACTTAAATCCTGGCCCCCAGGGAGGCCCCTGTTGTGTGAGTTCTTGTGTCAGTTGTGATAAAGATTTACTCTATCAAGTACTCTGGTTTCTGACAAGTGATGGGATGAGGTTGGGAAAGAAAGAGCATATGCCACAGAGGGAAAAACATCTCTCCTCCCCTAGCACCAATCTCTGATGGTACCACGAAGAGCCATACAAAACTTCCCATATAATTGACCTGAAAAATGGTAACCCTGACAGAATGTGATGCAACTACACATGTACATTTACAGCAGTTAATGTTACACCTTTGCATAAAGAAAACACCCATTGCAGATCATCCACAGAGGGAGTCTGACCATATCATAAAATATTGAATCATGTCACTTATAATAAAGCGTTAATAAACACCACACAATTTTGCAGATAACTCTAATGTCCTTCTAATAGAAACATTATTTTCACAGGTTCCAAAAAAAAAAAAAAAAAGAAGAGACCAAATAGGTCAACAGCACACAGTTAATTAGCAGCAAAACTTGGACTGAGTTTATACTAAAACTGCTGTTTCATAAACAAATAGCTAAGAGTGAAAACATTTTTGAATATTAAAATATCAACTTCACAATTTGTTTTGTTGTTAATGTTGTGCATTATTTCAGAATTATAAGAAGTTTTGCTACTGATCTTTTTCCTTAAAAACTAGAAGCCAACATCACTTTAAAATACAAGTGAATACACTGTGATTTGGTGGCTAGATATTTATTATAGTAATGAAAATCTTTGAAGTACCATAGAAATATAAACCACATTACAAATTTATGGAGTGATTGTTAAAAACCAAATACAAGAATTTTTTCTACACTCTTGATAAATTGTAAAAACACATTTAAGCTTGAATAAAAATGGAAGGAATAAACATATCAAACTGCATTTCTGTTTCACTAGTAGTCAGAGACAGTAAACTTAGATGCGTTCTCTGATTTATCCCTTAGGGGAAATATTTTAAGAAATCAATTACAAGGAAGTATTGTTTCATGAAACAATAAAATATTATTTCACATAATACATCTTGAAAAGCACTGGTATAATAACATTTTTCAATGGCATTTTAAGGTTTTATTTTAGTGTCTAAAAGTCATTTTATGATGATGAGTAAAAACAGAAGTAAAAAGGAGTCCAGAGAAAGGACTTATATTGGTCATGAAAGTGAAGACCTCATGCGGATGCTTGTTGCTGTTGGTTTGTTTTCCAGATTAAGTTTGTTAGTTAAGATTTTTTTGGTTTTCATTTCATTTCATTTAAGTTAAGATTTTTTTTTTGGTTTTCATTTCATTTCATTTCATTCATCAAGAAACAAATGCAATTTCAAAGCCCGTTCTCAGCTCCTGCATTTCCTGGAACAGGCACTCGAGCCCAGGCAGTGATGCATCCAGGGTCACACTCCACCTTGACAAGTCAATACTTACTTCCTTGTGGGTTCCTAATCCTACATGGCTTGTCCTGTCTCCACTTTAAGAGTCCAAGCCTATTAGGCACTTTTTACATCAGTTAAGAGCATAAAGCTGGATCACCCGGGATTGCCTGGGGGCTGAGGACAGACTCACAAACTTTCTCTTGATTTATACATCAGAGATATTACCGGGAGCTCCTGAGGGGCATTGACTGATGTATAATGAAGGGCCCCAGAAGCTGATCAGTGGAACACCTTGTTGATGAGATTGAAATCCTGACTGGAGAGTCAGAGCGTGTCTACATACCAAACTACCAGCAGATGCACAGTTCCACCTTTCCCCCAGCGTCTTCTAATTCTCCCTGTTTTACTTCCTCATGAGATTAATGCCATAGGATTAGTTTACCAATAAAAAGGCTAAGATCTTGCTCTTCAGCAGTATCCCGCATTATGTAGCCTGCTCCACGACTCCCCCTTCTTTATCAGAGTGGTGTTTCCCAGCGCAACACTTCTGATCATAGCTTGCACCTCTGAGCAGCACTGTGGAGCACTCGTTGACACATTTTTTCCTCGACACGGTGATACTCAGTACTCATATTCTTCCTTCTTCTCTGATTTCTTCTCTCTCTCTGCCACCTCATCTGTTTATAGACTTCATATATCCAACCTATTGCAGTTCAGAGTTAGTCCACACTGTCCCTGATTTTATTCTTTTGTAGGGGTGACTTCAGCAGCAGGCATCTGGTGCCCCCCGGCTCAGGGAAGATCAGGGTCCCCTCTGGGTAACAGATGAAAGGTCTTTTTTTGGTGCCATTGTAACTCCATCACATATTTAAAATATCCAAGATCACTTTTATTTTTGCTACTTTTTTTAACCCCTGAAAGCTTTAAGAAAAAGACACTATGACAAAAGTATTAGCTATTTGCTCAATAACATGAAATTATCATCATCACAGTTTTCAATTGGCACCTGAGTCTCTTCCACAAACTACTGAGTGAAGATGTTAACTGTTTTAATCCTGGGATCCGCATATTCTTTTCTTTGTACCTAAAACATCTTGCTGTTTATCCACGCCAGCTCTAACACATACCACATCTGAGCAAGACACTGCCTTTGAGTTCCTCATGTCTTTGCCTCATGCTTTTGCCATCAAGGTTGTTCTCCAATTCATAGTTATCTTTGGTTAAAATGCAAATTTTTTTGATGGAATTTTCTTGCTATAAATTTCTCTTTACAGTTCCAGAACCAAGTATACTACTTTCTCCATGTCCCATGAAGCAATTTATCTCATCCTGCCTAAATATCCACCATGGCCTTCAGTCTCCTTCTCCCTTGTTTACCTCTCCTTCTGAACAAATAATTGGCCTTCTAGCTCAGAACAAAACAAGGAACACTTCTTGCAAGAATGGATTATATAATAGCATTAGTTTTTTTTTTTTCCTCTCTTTTCATGGGTTTACAGCACCAAGAAAAGAACAAAAGATTAGATTGCTAAGAGAAAGGTAGAATGGAACAAATACACCAGAAAAAAATAAATATATAACACACTGTGTTATGGTGCAGAAATATCCTTTACATTTTTCTTTTTGAATAAACATCTGGATTTGTATCTTATTTAAATAGTGATTCTAAAGCTTTTACAGTACTATCAACTTCAAATGCAGTTGTGACAATATTAATATATTGACAAGAGAGTAAAATTAGAGAAGTTATTTTTATAAAAATGAAATTAATAAACATTACAAAATCATATTCTATTTTAAAATTTAATATCTTGATGTCCATAATTA